CTCCACTGTTTGACATTAGTGGAAACCCAACCTCTCCTCATTAATAGGAACTTTTATCGCCAACTGGCACAAGTGAAACATAGAATTAACTAAGGGAAGCTGCACTGCTGGTTCAAAGCACTAACTACAGCCCATTTTTTGTTATCACATTGTTTAATTTTTCTACTCCAAATGGGATTGTTCCATGGACCACAGGACACCATAGCTAAAAGCATTCTGTACTGCAACTTCTACTACTGGCAATTTGCAGACTCCTCTTTTTTTAATGAGCAAACACAGTCCTGAAGGCCTCCTCTCATGTTCCTAAAACCTAATTTAAGAAAAAAACATTCCTATTCAATATTATTTCAATTATGTTTTTAATCCTTTGGCAGCTATATGAACTACCTGGCTTAATTCCAAGCCTTTTCAAATCCTCTTGATATGCCTTCATTGCAGCCTCCTCCATTGCTGCAAATTCTTTTGACATGTTTTCTTCTTCTTTTGCTTTTTCCAAGCTTTTCTTTTTAATCTAAAACAAAAAACCCAAGAGAATTAATTAAACAAGTCTAATAATGAAAGGGATTAAAAATTAAGTATTGGTGTAAATAAGATATTTGAGTTACCTCACTAATTCTCTTTGCCACATTTTCTTTATGATTCTTTCCTCTTTCATGAAAATCAATGCTCTTAAAAGTGAGAAAAACAAGAAAAATGTGTATTATACGATTTTAATTTAGTTAATTAGTTAAAATTTAGGTAGACTAAACTTAATTAAACAAGCCTAAATGTAACCTGTTCTGAAAACACTTCAAACAGTAGAGCTATAAAATAGCTACAAGAAATTTGGAACACTGAGAAACACTCAAACAGAGAAATTATGAAAAATCAGTAACACTCAAAAATGGTACCATACAATTTCATAATCTGTAGTTCTAAGATTTAAAAATTTTCAAAGATTACTGTTCTGCACACACATGAGAGACAAGTAATCTGGGCTCCTTCTCCATGCTGTCCTTCTGTCCTTCCAAGTATCTGTCCTTGATTTTTTTTTTACCCTGTTTTCATGCAAACTTTTAAAAGCCATATGGCTTATTTATGTGTTCCAAATATTAGCTATTGCCCTTAATTAGATTATGCTATGCTCCACAAATATCCCATCAACTTAAAATAGTCTCCAGGCCCACAAATCTGAGAGAGAAAGAGGAAAAGGTAAGGTGGGAGAGTTGGGTAACTAAGGGCAACAGAATAGTCTGCAAGACAAAAAGCTGCCAGAAAGGCTGACGCCAGTAAGAACTGGAAGGAGTTCAGAAACTCTACAGGTACAACAATGGAAGTTCTCATGTGGTTCTCACAAGAAACATCTGAGCTCATTTAGGTGTTCAAATGTGAGGTACCTCAGCCTGACCTAGTAACCCCACAGTTTCTTTGCACAAACCAATGTGCATAGGATGCACGTGCAGGGGATGATTCACCTGATTTAAAGACAGACTTTTTAAATTAACCAAATCCCACACTTTAATGTGTATTTCTCTTCACTGAATACAAGAAGAAACCCAAACTTATTACCTCACACTTGTAATTCTGAACTGCAGGTATCTAACTGTAAGCCAGATAAAGTTCAGCTCCAAGAGTACCCCTGGCATTGTGTCAGGAATGCAAAACTTATTTCTAACTGAGGAACCAACGGGTCTAGTAGTCTGCAAAAGGCATCTGCAAGTCAGAAACACCTTTCTGTAACCCAGTAACATTTCTGTGGGCTGTGTGAAATGAAAGAAACCTGCTTTAAATGCTTAGAGCACTGGCTGTGCCAGGCCTACCATATAGAAACGGCACGTGTGCCAGGTTTTGCATGTGAAGGCCAGGAACAGGCACGGAAAAAGTTTCAAGACAGAGCAGGGTCAGATGTTTCAGTTCTTATCTGTGCTGCCAAGTAGAACAGCACACACCATCTTGTACACAGTATCCAGCTCTCACCAGAGAGATATGCTTTAAATATCACAAGTAAGGCCTTTTTAAACAACAAATTTCATGTATTAAGAGATTAGTATCAAAAGTGATGTTAAAAGCCTGCAATTCAAACTCCAGCATTTCAGAACCATTGACATAGTAGGGAGACCATCGTACAGGTCTGTTGTCTGCTATCCAGCACTTGCAGTAATCGCAGAACTTTTTTGGCTGAGATTTCCAGTAATCGGCCCTGGGGAGACAAAAAAAAGATGTATAATTTGAAACAATAATCAAAGACACAGGTGTGTGTGTGTGTGTGTATATACAGCTTCAGAAACTAAATTTAGTTGTCTTTGGGTGACCCAGTGCTAAGAGTTTGGTTTTGTTGTTGCTTTTTGTTTTTAAACAAAGTATGGGGAGCGAGCAAGAGTAGCTATATTGACTGCTGTGTCCCATAAAGCTCAGTTCAGTACTGGGACTGTGCCCACCTGGCCCTCAAAGACTGCTACATTTTTACAGTGGAGGTGATGCTGGAAGAACCAGAAATACAAGACAATGCAAGTCAGAGATAAACAAGCAGCTTTGGATGCTTCCTGCAGCACGATTGCCTGATTAAGCACAGAACTGCCAGAAACAGGCAACTGGCACTACTTTTCATAAAAATGCATACAATAAATGTTTCTAAGTGTAAAACTTTGATTTAATGTCAAAGCCTACTTTGGATACTGTACATAGTGAGCTTAGCAACACAAAGGTGCAGTTCTGGAGAACGTGAGCTACTGCAGAGAAACCTAGAACAGATTCTGACCTGTGGGGTCACAGACACAGCAATAAATTGTTTGGATGTTTCAGTGTAAAAACGTGACTATTTCTGAACCACGCAATTTGGATAAGTTGCATGTGTGTGAGGAAACTTGGGGAAAGCTCTTCAAAGCTCAAAAGTTAGTACATAAAAGCATTAAACAATAAACCAAACAACTCCTCCAGTGGCTGTTTCTTCATCAAAACCCCCTTTCTAATGCCAGATGAGGCTTGTGCAGAAATAATCCCATTTCTTATTGGCTCACAGCAAAAGATGCAATGCTTTGGTTCAACAGAACGCATTCCAGAAACAGACTTCTATGTTTTTAAATTAAAATGACAAAGATTGAGGGGCAAAACAAAAAACAACTCAAGAGTACGCTGAGAACATTAAAAAAGATCACTCCAAAAAATGAATCTTTGCCTTCTGCCTGAAGATCAATGTACAGAGCTCAAGGAAAATACTCCCTGATATTTTTATTCAATAAAAACAAAACTTCTTCCATGCACAACAATAGCACCCTCAAACCTTAGCAATATGTGCAAGCAGATCCTCCGTAACAGCAACAGGCCTGATTGACTCAACTCTTAAAATTCAATCTGATATCAAAACACGCTCTCCCACCAGTGCTTAACGTAAAAATGCAATTTCTAAGAGGCTACAATTATTTAAAAGTGTAAGTACAAAGGATACGTTCTGCAAAAATATATTAACCTATATGCAATACTTTGTTACCAATGCACAGCTTTTCAAGGCATTTTCTGGAAAGCTAGAAAGAAGCAGCTGGGCTTCCCTGGACTTAAACAGAAATCCACTCATCTCTAAATGGTATACTTTAAAACTGGGTGATTACTTAGTCACACATTTAATTAAAAGGCTTTTGAGATTTATATATCAAAACATACTAGGGCCAAAGCTTGGGAAATCGAACACTCTGGCTGGAAAACCAGCTGAGTGGAAGGGAGAAATTCAGAGCTCAGAAATACCTTGAGGTCCTTTTTCCTATTTGAGCTGTAGTTCCAAAATTGTCTCCAAATCCTTCGACATCAGCTAAGACAAAGCTGGGTTAACCTACCTAAGGCAATGAATGAAATCTGACAGAAAATACATAAATTGCAAAGGAGCCCCACTGCACATTTCAGAGGTGCAAGAACATCTGCGTATTTCCAAGTCTCACCTAACCGAGCTGGCTCTTTCTCTTCAACAGAATCAAGTGTAAGTGCTAAAATTAAGACTGTACAGCTGTGCTCACCAAAAGTCAAGACCTGAGAGTGTGATGAGCTATATTTTCACAGCTATATTTTCCACTTCTTTCTTTCCTAAGCACTACTGGACATGACATCTGTCGCAAACCACTGCAGCTACACAGAGAGTAATCGTGCTGGAGAACCTGAGGGCACACCTGGAGCTGAAGTACAAATCCAGGTCTTGATGACAGAAGCCTTTTGTCTTCATCTCCTATTGGTTTTGATAAAGATTGGAGCTGGCTCTCTGTTGCTACATATAAAATAAATGTAAATGATACTCTGCAGAACACCTGATATCCCGAGAACTTTAAATCGTGCATTTCATGATTAACAGAGTTAATTGTCTAAATTATGGTCCCAATTCTGCAACTTAGGAGCATGAAGAGTGTTATATGCTCAGTAATTTCCTTAAAGATTTTCCACTTGAGTTCATATCACTCAAAAAAGAGCAAGATCAGCTGAAATTTCCACCAAAAACATCCACCACTGTAACAACGATGGAGCCTGCAAAGCTCCAACAGTGCTGCAACGAGAGCAAACCAAAGAGGAGTGTTTGGAAAGGAGCAGCAACTGTAACAAGACCTCACTTCAGTGAGATCCTACAAGTGCTTCACAGGCTCCAGTCACAAGCCTGAAAGTTACTCCAGATTGATGACAATGTTTAGGTATGTGATTATTTTATCAATCTGCCAAATAAAGGCTTAAGAGGAGATGCTGTTGAAGTGGTACAGAGGTCTTGTGTACTTTAATAACCGAGTACAAATCAAGGGAAACATAGTTATTTTAAAGAGTCACTGCAGTCAAAATGATACGGCTTTTAAGGCTCCTTATCTTCTGCTTGCTCTTACATCTGTAAAGTTAAGGTTGATTCTTGTTTTCAGCTTTACAGCTGGGATAATGTGCTAATGATCAGAAAGCTGACCAGGCAGCCATCACCATCACAACCACCTTTCTTCCTTTCACTACACAAAGAGACAGTCCAGAGTGCATCAGGTCTGGCCTGTCCAGGTTTGCAGGGCTGAGACTTCAGCACTGTACCCATTTACCCAGGGGTGGCCCTCCAAACAGGAGCCTGGTGACACCGACCCCAAGGGCTGTGCAAGTTTTACTGCAGTGCCCTACCTCAGGGGAAGGGTTCTGACAAAGTCTGTCCAGACCCCAATCTTCCAGAGCTCACCGAGCAACCCAGCTTGGCAACCTGCTGCTAGCCACACAGGGAAGAGAGCGGCACTGATACAGATGGGTACTGGCCAGCTTCTGGACACGCTGCTGTCAACTTTCAGACAGAGTTCAAAATCCTGTATTAACCTACAAGAAATGTGTATTTCCTAAAGAACAGTGATTTTCTTTCACCTTTTACCGCTCAAACCACCCAGGGGCAGAATGTGCAACAATTCAGAGAGCCAAAGAGAAAGGAGGGGGTAAGAGGGAGCAAACATCAAACTGTTTTCCTGAGGATTTAATGAAATTACTACCTCCTTGCTGCAAACAGCTGTAGAATGTAAACAGTGTCAATGTTAAAACCATTTTCAGACTTCTGAAATTCATTTAAAAACTTCAGCGGGAGTGCGAAGACCGGGAAGAACACGTACCAACTCCACATTAACAGTGCCTGCCACATTCACCATTTCAAAAGATATGAAAATGCTGAAACTCAGAGAGAAAATTCCCCAACTCAGGTATTTTTACTTTGCGTAATTCATTTCTTGAGCCATGGGAATCGCACATCCTGCTCTGCAATGACCAGATTACGCACTCCGACTGCACGGGAACCACAGGTTTAGGAGCACACAAAGGGGACAGGCTCTGATGGTAACGTTCAGAAAGGAACCTGCAGAGTAACTCCAGCAGTACTGGCGTCCAGGGCCCCAAGCTGTCCGCCTGTGAGCTGCTTCTCCTCACAACTTACAGTATTAGTAATGTTTTAACAGGTGGTGCAATCAGCCATCCTTATATAGGGAAGCTTAAGAAACCCTCATAAAGAAGCTTATCTTATCTTCAGCTGAGACAGCTTTGCCAAACTTTACTTTGAAACTGGACTGTAGGTTTTTGTTCCTACCACATATTGGCTGAAATTAAAAGGAGGGAGGCAGTGAAGGGAGGGGAGAAACAACTGTTCCAGGTGGTTCTGAACACACACAAAAAAAATAATTTGGCTGTGCAAACAAAATCTGGAAGCATTTGCTTTGAATAGCTCTGTTCTAAAACACCAGACTTGAAATTTGGCAGAGAGGCAGGGCAGGTTGTATCAGGGATATATCTGTCCCAGTTATAAGCTTATAGCCTAAAAAACATCATATGCATGCTCAGCAGTCATCTTTGGTTTTAATATCTAGAACCTCCGAAGACTTTACACAAAGTTAATATCTTCCAGCTTTCTGCAGGTTTTAACAGCTTGTCCATGCATCACCTTCTTGAATGCAGGTGTGGGAACTAAGAAATACCCAGATTCAAGTTCCTGACTACACAAGGAAATGAATTCAGAGCAGCTATTGTGGCTACTTGGGGTAGCTACTCTGGCTCCTTTGGGGTACGAGCTAGCACCATCCATCTCTAGTTTCGGAGCCACATTAGGCTTTCTAGGCATCCAGCCCCTGGTGAGAACAAATGCACCCAATGAGCCAGGCAAGGTACCGAGGGCAAAGTTGGATGGGACTATGAATGTGAGGCTGGGTAGCTACTCTGGTTCCTTTGGGGTACGAGCTAGCACTACTCATTTGCAGTTTCAGAGCCATACCAGGCTTTCCAGGCATCCAGCCCTGGTGAGAACAAACGCGCCTGGTGAGCCAGGCAAAGTTGGATGGGACTATGAATGTGAGGCCATGTGGAGAGAACTCTGTAACAGCCACTCAACAGGACACAGTATTCAGAAACACTAACACGCTCTATTTGGGAATACTGTGTACTTCTAAAGAAAAGCAATAGTTCTGTAATGGAAAGAAGTAGAAAGAATATTTTTTTTTTTAAAATCACATATATTTCAAAATAGACCCTCATCCACATAGGAAGTCATTCCAGAACAGCTACTTCTAATTTAAATATCTCAGTATTAGTAAGACCTACGAATGCAATGCTACAATCAGCAGGGAAGGAGGCCAAAAAGAGAAAGGTTTTCTTGTACCATGGAACAGGTCCCAGCAACCTGGCCCTAACAACCCACACTCCCAAATAACACATAGCAACTCCATCCACCCTAGTGCA